GTCCAAACCTCCTTGATGTTGTGATTTGCATACCTTGCTCTAATTTACTAGATGATATATTATTTCCTCTTTCCACCCCTCCAAAGAGAATCTCTCATTTCTTTTCAGTTTGGCCAACTTGAAACCCAAATCAGATTGGTCCACTGTGGTTCAACACAAAAAACTAGATACAACCCACTTTAGAAGGCTGGTTCATGGGGTTTTTGAACTCCATTTAAACCGAAATTTTGGAGTCTAAATTTCCTACCCACAACAACTCTACACCCATAATACCCATATAACATTGCAGTCACATATGGAAAACATCTCATCCTCTTACATGTTCGGGAAGATGTTCCCAATGCATAGAGGTAGTATTTTGTGGGCATATAATAGACAATATGAGCCATGTATATAAGAAATTTCATGCCAAAACTACTTTTATATTTTGAGATTTTGGAACTGATTTCATGATTTATTATGATATTATCCACTTTGAGAGGAGTTCAAGGGTTTTTGAATTCGGATTGAACAAAAACTTGGAGGTCTCATAACGGATCCTATGGTATCTCTGTGTGAATTTTCATATTAAAGTACCATTTGAATGTGGACATATTAGGCCAGTTTAGTAAATACTTTGCTGATTTTCATGTTTTTGCTTTATTTGTTACTTATTAAACATAGATTTAACTTTGATTAATGCTTATGAAAATGATTCTTGAATAAATTTATGCAAGAATACTACATGATTTGCTTAGTATTGTTTTATTTGGGTTTATTAAACATGATTGTGAAGTTTTCCTCTATAAATGGGTCATATTTTGCACATAATTGTGATGGGTAATGGATCAATCCAACAGAACGACACTGCTTTGAATGTATTAGAATGGGATGGAAACCGGAACGAGTAAGGTGCTGTTTGGCAAAAGTTTTTAGGAAGATCTTCTGACATCCCAGATAGCCAAAAGATGTACTAACCTTTTCGTTTAAAGATCAAGGCTGTTTAGTAATATGTTGGTTTATTGTGGTCTACTGGGTTGTTAAACAAAAGTTTTTAGGCATGAAAATATGGAAATTTTCATTTGAAGCTGCTGATTTTCAGCCATTTTGGCCTTCCATGAGCGTTTTGGAGTGTAAATCCGATCAAATTTTGGTCTTATGAGATTTGAAAAACTCAAAGATTGCACAGAAAAATTTGCCAAACACCCCCTTAAATAATCTTACTTGCAATGCCATTCTCCCAACGTGATGGACCTAGCTGGATAAACTTGCATTAGACCACCTGAAAACATTCTAATTAACCACAAATTGCTGGCCCAGAAGAGGAGTCACTCCTATCAAATAATCCTGAAATTACCCATCAAAAGGATCCCATCTACCGGCCACCTAATTATTTCCAAAACTAAGATGAACAAAAACTATAACTTGGATCGTTAGCCTACAAGTTAGATCTAAGAATAAAGAATATTATTAGACCAGATGATGGGCCCGGTAGCCCGGTGGCTTGCCCTACCCAACCCATTTTTTATTGGGCTCAAGCATATTTTGAGACCCATGGGCTCGGGTTCAAGCTGTAAGTATTAGGCCTGATTATTTTTCAGGCTGAGCTGGATTAAGACTTTTTAAGCCTCACACAATAAAATTATAAATTATAAAAAGTATATATTAATAATAGGTATTAAGTAATAACTTGTATTACTTAAATAATTTTCTAAGCTATCAACCATCCAACCCTAACATTTTGAATGTTATGTATTTATTGTTGGATACCTTGTGTGTTTTGTATTTGATTTTGCTTTCTATTTAAACTAAGGGTGTAATTATTGTATGCATCAATATTTTCTATGTGCAAAATGTGCCATTGGATTTGGATAGGAACAAGTCAAAATTAGAAGACAAAACTAAAATATTACATAATGTACACTAGGCTTTAGCCAGACTCTCCCTCTGCACGGTTCTAGTATTGACCCAAAAGCTGCATTTGGATGTGATGTAAATCAAGTTTGCATGCGTTTGAAAAAAGGGTGTAATTATTATCAACGTAAAACTATACTTCGATTCAGTTTTGTGTGCATTTGGATGGAGTGTAGTTTTACGTCGATAATCAATATAAAACCCCATCAGCTCTAAAGTTTTACATCAATAATGAATGTAAAAACTATATTGATTTTATTGATGTAAAACTTTATACTCTTCCACCCATCACTATTTTCGAAAAAGTAACGGCCACTTTCTGGTTCAGTGTAAAAATACACTGATAATGTTTTACACTGATTCCAAACGCAGCCAAACTTTTAATTTAATAATGAATGTAACTTTAAGCAGAAGGAATGGTGAAACCGTGAAAGTGAAAACAGGATTTATGTAGGCCACGACCACCACCACATAGTTGGTATAAGGCTTAGAAGATGATGATGATTTGGCCCAAGCTTTGGTTTCATAATGAAATGTGGTCAGGGTGGACATAACTGTATTGATTGGGTCAATCATAGTATGCCACATTACGAGGGACCTACATACATGGGGCTGATGTGGCATAGTATGATTGCTCCAGCATTATAACTTTAAAGGATTAAAATTGAGAGAAGAGGAAAAAAATATGATAGGGGTGAACATTTTTAACATGCCGCAGGTTTACTATACAAACCCACAATATATATATTATATAAAAATCTATGATGCTAGAAAGATATGATACCAAAAGGCTTTAATCAATGAAAATCCTCGCATGATTTTTTATGAAAACCTATCTGATTGGTTTTCACTTTTATGATACTGATTAATTGGTAGGTGTTTGGCATCAATGCCGTTTCCTCAGAAAACAGTGCCACATCAGAAATTCATGTTTTGGAAAACGCCTACTGTTTTGTTAGTCGCTTTTTTTTAAATGTTTTCTTAGATCATTCCTTAAAAATTAGGAAAGGTGTGGTCTAAGAAAACATCTTTTTTGGCGTTTTTCCGCTTTTTTCTACGATTGCTAATAATACTATGCTGACATGACATTGAAAAACGCCTATTAACATCAATGGTACCAAATAAAAAAAACCTAAGAAAACAATTTTTTGAAAAACATGCTTATACAACACCTTTTTATGAGAAAATGTCTCTCATAGAATGACAATTGGTTCCAAACACTGCCTTGATTATAATATTTTTGGTAAAATATAAAAACCTCCCCTAAAGTTTCTGACAATCATAAAAACCTCCCCTATAGTTTCATTTTAGCAAAAACCTCCCCTTTGTTTTTTAAAAATTCAACAAATACCTCCCTTCCGTCAATAACCAAAACAGAAAATGTTAAAGAGATTAACATTTTTTCAAAATACCTATTTTACCCTTTTATGAATTAATGTGCATCTATTTTTGTATTTTACCCAAAAAATGCGGGGTTTTCTTTTCTTTTTCTTCTCTCCACTCGGACCACTCCCTCCCTCTCTATCTCTCTACTCTACGTCTGTGGTCTGCCTATGCCAAAAGAAGCAAAAGTCCATCAACATTCATCAGCGCCCGTCCTCTGTCAGATCCAGTCGTGCATTCTCTTGAAGCACCGAATTTGGGCCCCCTTCCTCTTCGCCTTTTCCATGCACTCTCCCTATAGCGCTAGCACCACTACTCAACCAATCCCCTCCAAAAATCACTTCCCATGCTCTTTCCCTCTTCCCGCCATCTTTGTAACCATCTCTACAACCGCTCCCGCCTCTGTGCCAATCTCGCTCGTTACATCTCTGTCGCCAATCTCGCTCGTTACATCTCTGTCGCCAATCCTTCTAGCTCTACCTTTGCAACTGCTCCCGCCTCTGCCGTTGATCCTTCTAGCTCTTCCACTGTCTCCACCACCTCTACAACCGCTCCCGCCTCTGCCGCCGATCCTTCTAGCTCCACCACTATCTCCACCACCTTTGCAACTACTCCCGCCTCTGACGCCAATCTCGTTACCATCTTTGCCATCGACCCTTCTAGCTCTGACTGTCTCCACCACCTCCACAACCACGTTGCCATTGCATTCTACCAGGCATAGTTCTAGCAAAACTTTTGTTGTAGGCTTGGCACCTACCGGATCTTTCAGAAATCCTATCACCCCACTCATTACTGACAGTGGGTAGGTGGGGTCTCAGCTTCCATCAACCAGCGGATTCGGCACAAGAGAACGTTCAAATGAAGAGCTAAAAGCCAAGCACTGTTAGAGCCGGCACAAGAGAACATTCAAGTAGAGAACCAAGGACTACAGATCCGTCGAAGCTCTTCATCATCTCTATCTCTAAAAAACAAAACAAAGAGAGAAGAGATAAAGAGAAACCCAGGGAGGGAGGAAACTCTGGTTTGACGAGAAGGGTCTGCAAAGGTTTTAAAGAGGAAGGGATAACATTTTTCTGCTACTTTTCTGCGAGAACCTATAGATTTCTCGAGCAGATTATGGAGTGCACCGCTATTCTACCACTGAATAGTGCTTAAGCTGCGACAGTGCTATTTTAGTAAAAATAGATGCACATTAATTTGTAAAAGGGTAAAATAGGTATTTTGAAAAAAATGATCATCTCTTTAACGTTTTTCGTCTTGGTCATTGACGGAAGGGAGGTATTTGTTGATTTTTTCAAAAATAAAAAGGAGGTTTTTGTTGAAATAAGACTATATGGGATGTTTTTATGATTATTAGAAAATTCAGGGGAGGTTTTTGTATTTTACCCTAATATTTTTTCTTTACTGTATGTTTCCCGCATCATAGTGAAACCCACTTTTATATATATGTGTTATTTTATATAAATATTATAACATGAAACATAATAACTATTATATCTAATATTAAATATATAAAGTATAACATAAATTTTAAATTATGATATAATATATTGCATATATGCTTTTACAGACAAAGCCAAAGCGCGGCCACTGATTAGTGATTAGTGATTAGTGATTACTCCCTAAAACAGAGTTAATTGTCTTAATCCTGCAACCAAACAAGGCGCAGTAGGAAAGAGAAGTGAAAAGAAAGGAAATCCACGAGTGAAAATAGAGGTGGAAATGCAAGCAAGGGAAACGAAAAAAATCCAAATCCTCCAAACGACGATCGAACACCTCTCAACCTCTCCTCAACGATAAGAGAATCCCCACAACACCCATTCAATAAATCTTCACGTCCACAAAAGCCTATCGGAGTTTCTCCACCTCTTTCTCCGTCTAACTCCTCAGCACCGGAAGAAATAATAAAATAGATAAAAAAGCAGAGAAAAACAGAGGAGAGAAGAGGAAAACAGAACAACTCAGTTGACCTCACTTCTCTGCTTTGTTTCTAGTTTCGTCTCTCACCCTCTGTAGCCATGGCTTCCACAGCATCGCCCACTTCACTCTCTCTTATTCCCTCTTCCTCCTCCTCTTCCACCTCCCGCAGCCGCTCCTCAGTCCAAGTGGCAGCAGCCATGTCATCTCCCAGGCTCCATTCTGCTGGCCTCCGTGCACCACTCCGCCGGCTCGGGTTCTCTGCAGTGGACCCGCTGCTGTCTCTCCATGTTGCGGCCAAGGTTCGAGCTGTTAATGGGAAGGGTGTTAGAGGGGTTGTGTCGATGGCCAAGAAGAGCGTTGGAGATCTCACCGCTGCGGATTTGAAGGGGAAGAAGGTTTTCGTCAGGGCTGATTTGAATGTTCCCTTGGATGGTAACCAGAACATTACTGATGATACCAGGGTTCGAGCTGCTGTCCCGACGATCAAGCATTTGATCGGAAATGGGGCAAAAGTAATTCTTTCCAGCCATTTGGTGAGTACATTTTTCTTTTGATTCCGTTTTGATTTCTGTGAATTGGGTTGGTGATCGAGTAGCGGATTTCTGATCTCTGTTCCTTTTTTCTTTGCTTGCATTTGATTTCTTTGAAGAAGTGGGTTTCTCATGCTAATTCAGTGTGTTTGTCTTTGGGGTTTTCCCTCTTAATTTTTCTTTTGTACAGCTCTGAATTTTATTAATTTGTTTTTCTGGTAATCTGAATTGACTTTTGTTATAGGTCTTCTCTTTCCTTGTTTGTTCTTTTAACAGTCACGGGTTTACGAATTGTTTATGTTTTTCTTTTGCTTTTGTGTTTTTTCTCCTTTTCTTATGTGTGTCCCTTTTATGTTTGTTGGCATGCTTGTATTTTATCAGGTTTAATTTTGTTGCTGCATTACTGTTTCTTGTGATTGTATCACTGAGCTGTAGGCAGATTTGGGCCAGTTTATTTTATATGAATTTAAATTCTTTTTCACATCTGTGTTTCTTCCGTAAAATTGTTGATTATGGGTTTAAGTTTGTTGCTACCATGGAAATGCTGTATAAAGTTATCTATATCTACTTATCTCCTGTATTTCTTCCTTCCACTCCTGCAAATTTAAATTATTTATCAGATCTATGTTTCTTCAGTTAGATTGTTGATTATGGCTTTAAAATTTATAGCTACCATTGGAAATGTTGTATTATCTATATCTACTTATCTCCTTCAGTTTTTCTTCCTTCCACTGATTTGTAAGTAGGTAGAATTTTGACTTGCTAAAGCTTGTTTTTGTTCTTGTCTCCTAATGGACTTTTAGGGGCGGCCAAAAGGTGTAACTCCAAAATACAGCTTGAAGCCTCTAGTGCCTAGGCTATCTGAACTCCTTGGAGTGACGGTATGATTCTATCTACCTTCGAAAATAACTCAGATATATAGGCTCCTATATTGTAGCTGAGGTGTGTTTTTTTTTTCCTATGTTGGATATGGAAACCAAACAGGTTGTGAAGGCTGAGGACTGTATTGGACCAGAAGTTGAGAAGCAAGTGGCTGCACTCCCTGAAGGTGGTGTTCTTCTTCTTGAGAATGTGAGATTTTACAAGGAAGAGGAGAAGAATGATCCTGAGTTTGCAAAGAAGCTTGCCTCCCTAGCAGACCTCTATGTGAATGACGCATTTGGAACTGCACACAGAGCCCATGCCTCAACAGAGGGAGTCACCAAGTTCTTGAAGCCTTCTGTTGCTGGCTTCCTTTTGCAGAAGGTGCAACTTCATAGTTATTCTTGTTCTCAAATACACACCCTTTTAGATGAATTGTGAACGTAGGAGGATGTCTAAGAAAGTTTCCTCCATGAAAGCTCCATAAGCATGCTGACACTTATTGAGCATGTATAGGCCAGATTGTTATTGGTTCCTCTACTTGCTGATTTTTAGGACACCTTAATTTGTTATAGCATTGTTGTAGGAGCTCGACTATCTTGTTGGGGCAGTTTCAAACCCCAAAAGGCCATTTGCTGCCATTGTGGGAGGCTCAAAGGTCTCATCCAAAATTGGAGTGATTGAATCGCTACTAGAGAAGTGTGATATTCTCCTTCTGGGTGGAGGTATGATCTTCACATTCTACAAGGCCCAAGGCCTGTCAGTTGGTTCATCCTTGGTGGAGGAAGACAAGCTTGACCTTGCAACATCACTCCTTGAGAAGGCTAAGTCAAAGGGGGTGTCTCTTTTGTTGCCATCTGATGTGGTTGTTGCAGACAAGTTTGCTCCTGATGCAAACAGCAAGGTTCACTTTCTTATCTCTATGAATCTTCCATAGTTACATATGAAACTAGTGTAAATGCCTAGTCCTGTTGTGTATTTATTATTTGCATTTCCAACACGTGCAGCAGAAGTAATTGATTAGTTGTTTTTATTTCATAAAATCCATTAGCTATCCTATAAGTGGCTTGACACTTGTTAGCAAAATGAGTAAAATTGTCTTTTGAACGTGCAGATTGTGCCAGCATCTGCCATCCCAGATGGGTGGATGGGGTTGGATATTGGACCTGATTCTATTAAGACATTCAATGAAGCGTTGGACACTACCAAAACCATTATATGGAATGGACCCATGGGAGTGTTTGAGTTTGACAAGTTTGCAGTTGGAACAGAGGTATGCAACAATTGCTTCCCTGTATCTCCGTTTATGTGAGTACACTTACACAGTTATTCATGTATGTGTGGTTATCCCAATCCTCGGGCATATCTGAAAATAGTAATCTATGTTTTGGATGCTTTCTGTATACACACATGTACATAGTATATTTGGAGGTATGGGTGTTTGATTGATATATCAACTCTTAACTGATTACAGGCAGTAGCAAAGAAGCTAGCAGATCTCAGTGGAAAGGGTGTAACAACAATCATCGGAGGTGGAGATTCAGTTGCAGCTGTTGAGAAAGTAGGTGTTGCAAGTGTAATGAGCCACATTTCAACAGGTGGTGGTGCTAGTTTGGAGTTGTTGGAAGGCAAAGAGCTCCCTGGAGTTCTTGCTCTTGATGAAGCCGTAGCTGTTGCAGTTTGAGGCAAGTTTTATCCATGTTTTTTCATCCTGTCTCCATGTTAGTAACTGCTTAGGTTTGCAGAACAGATGTGGAATGTGGTAGGAGAAAACACATAAAGAGTTCCTGTTGTAGATGTTCGGCAATGCCTTTCAATAAAAGTGATCCTTCAACATCGTTTTTTCTTCTGATATGTTGTGGTTTTGATGTTTTGCAATTTCCATTTCACCATTTATGGGGGGAAACTGAAAGAAAAAAGAGAAATGAAATTTGTTGTGGGAAGCCTAGTGAGTTTAGCACATTTGGCCACCGAGAACATTTAGGTTCAACGTCAGCCATTCTGTTGTAACCAATGTTTTGAATCCAGTCACAGCATTTGACACTTTTTTTATTTTTTGAAGAAAAGATAACTGTATTGATCAAATAAAGGATGTACACTTCAGGATCAAGAACACAGCAAAAAAAAAAAAAAAGAAAGAAAAAGAGGCCCTCCAACAAAAATCTTATGGAGGTAAGGAGCAATCACTATACAAAGATGCCCTGAGAACCCCTATCTTGGCCAATCCATCTGCAATAGTGTTGTAGTTCCTAGGAATCCAACAAATGTAAGCAAAGTCTGAAGAGGCCAGATCCCTTGCGAGTTGCTTCGGCAATCAAAAGGGCCATCCTCGATGGTTCACCATCTGATGAACTTAATCCCTACGCCCCAGGTTCAGTAGCTTAACAATTCCGAGGCTGAGAGCTGCTTTCACTTCAGCCCGGGAAGAGTCTGCACCCCAATTGGGCAACTAAAGGCCCTAGCAATTTCGCCTTCTTTATCAATGGTGAACCCACCAATATTAGCTCTACCAGGATTGCCAGCAAAACTGCCATCCAAGCGCAAAATGTAATCAGTGGATGTCTGAAGGGAGTTTGGATTTGCTCCCCAGAGAGCACACCTCACACCAACCTCACAGCATGTTTCATCCGTGCATTTAAAACATCTCCGTAATTATAAATTTTTATTCATGGAGAGATTTCTAGATCCACGGCTGAAATGTGCTGTGGTCGGTGTGAGGTGCGCTTTTAAGAATGAAGAACCACCAGATGGTTTCTGTCAAAATGTGCTAAGCCGACGCCCGAAAAGCTTCCACCAAGGAATTTTATAAGCTAAAAACAGAGGCCACAAACTCCACCAGAGGGGGTTTTATTTTCAAGAATTCCATTATTTCTCTTGGTCCAAACACTCCAAATAAATGCACGAGGGACTAACCTCCAGTAGATTTTAACCTGATTACCAATACCCTTTGCACTCCATTGTCTTAAAAGGTCAGCAACAGACCCCAGAGAGACCCAACACAGACCGATCAGAGAGTAGATGGAAGTCCATCCATAGAGTTCTTGCATACTTGCAGTGAAGAAAGTGGAGTGCATTTTCTTCAGCCTGAAAGCAGTGGATGCATACCTGGGAGAAAGGCATTCTTGCCTTCTTTTTCTTCTGCCAGATATCATTAGTATTCCATCGAGTTCCGAACTTTCTTGTGGGTAAAGAGCTGTCCGATTTGGACAATAAATTATAAATGAAGGCAATGAAGATTGAACACTTAACCACTTGATCAAACAAGCTCTGATACCATTTTAAGAAATAGTTCAATCTAAAAGCTTAAATTGTTAGGAGAGGTCCCCGAATACACAGTTAAGGTCCAGCTGTCCAGGTATGATTGTCTATATTATTGGGAAACAGCCAATACATCACCTAATCAAATTTCTGGGATCATTTCACTCCTGAAATGTTGTCTGAACCTCAAGAGCATGTGCTTGTTTCTCCTCACCCCCAGCGTCAGTGCTTGCCGTTTGAAACGTAAGGGGGCGTGCCAGTGCTTGCTGTCTGAAAATGGGTTCAGTCCTAAGGCATGAGAAAATCCCATCAGAAGCAGATCTACTGGTTTAAGGCTTATTTCGTCTAAGAGAACAAACCTTCAAGAAGAGTCAACCTCGGAAGCTGAGCAAACCTTCAAGAAGATTTATCCCCATTCATCTGCCCTATATAAAATGCATTAGGCTTCTAAAGTTGTAGAAATGTGAGAATTTGAGCTTTGCGTAGTGGTTTTCAAAGACAGTGCCAATTGATATTGTACAATCTGGTGCTCCCTGTTGGCAATCAGTTCGAACATTAGACTAGGTAGGTCACATGGCTGAATTGCAAAAAGACAGGTACCAGAGTGTCTAGGTTGCTTGACCCAGGGTGGGCACTCTGATGCTTAAGTCAGCGAAGATGTAAATTCGTGATTTTACCGTCTTTCCTCTTTTTAAAATTAAGTCCAATTTTAATGTTTGAAGCATTTAGGTAAGAACATGTGGCACAATACCTTTCTCCACCTTTTTGCTAAGACCAAGGTAAGAACATGTGGAACCAAAAGAAGAGAAAGCTAAGGCTTTTTTGGGTCATTAACTAAAGCACCCCTTATAATTTCATTGATGTACTAAAACCTATCCTATAGTTTACATTTTACTGAAACACCCCTATAGTTTGCAACCAATTTACTTAATTGACCTTTTGTTAAGAATCCTGTATATTTATGTTTAAAAATGGTAATCTGATCATACAAAGAGATTAGAAAATGTTTAAGGGTATGAGCCCATGCTTTTTTATTCTGAAAGTACCCCTAAAACTTCATATCAAGCTTTTAGAAAGAAATAAGATTTTATTTTCAAATCTTGGCTTCAATAGAATGAAAAGAAAACAATGGTGTCTAGAATTCATCAGCAATGGTGTCTTCAAATAGATAACAAATTTTAATGAATAGAATTGTTACCGTCTTTCACTGGGGACAAAAATGATATTTCATTTTTGTTTTCCATAGATTAAATTGTTTGAGGGGACAATATTGTCATTTTCCACTTCCATTTAATGGGAGGTCAATTAAGAAATTGGTTGCACCATAGGGGGTCTTCCAGTAAAACACAAACTATAAGGTGGGCTTTAGTAAATCCATGAAACTACAAGAAGTGTTTTAGTAAACGACCCTTCTTCTCACAATAAAGACTGGTTTGCATGATTTGAAATATTCAAATGGGTTCACATACGTGGGCTAGGGTGAGTTGCAACCCATAAATATGTAATTAGTATGGGTGAAAAATGGCTGTGAATCATTAATAGGTGGATCGATACTCAACCCGCACCCAATCCACCCATTTGCCACCCATAATTTAATAATGGATATAATAGGGTGCATGTAGCCAACACCAATGTTTTAAAAACTGACCCGGAGGCTGAACCGTTTTTGCCTCTGGGTTGCAAGTCACCAATTTGACCGCCCGGGTTGAATGGGTCAGCTGTGCCACATCATCTATATGTGTGTGTGTGCAATCCAATGCGAGTCCATTACAAATGGACCTGGTCCAATCCAGTCCAATGAATATTTTGGACCATTTTGGACCGGTCTAGAGACTGTCCAATCTATTCAAATTCCTATTAATTTAAATTGGTTTCAACTCAAACTTGGACCATTGACACCTGTGTTTTTTTATCTTTTATCAATGAACTAGATATTGGCTCAATCCAATATAAATTCATTATGGACGAACTAGGTCCAATCCAATATGTCATTGGTCTGTCCAATCCATCCAAATTCAATGTCTTTTTGATCCGTCCAATCCGTCCAAATGAATTTTGATTTGATGAAATCCAACCCAAAACCGATCCATTGACACCCATATTTGTGTGTACAAATACATATTTTATCAATAAATAATGTATAATTATGTTTTAGATATGTTTTATGTACTATTTTATATTTAATTTATGTTTTTTAATTCAATTTTTAATTATTTTATTTGTAAAAATATTTAAAATTACAATTTTAGGCCAAAAAGGGGGGGGGGGTTCACAAAAATAATAGGGCAAGACACTTATGGCTCCTTGGAACACAAATCTCGAAAAATTACCTAGAATTAAAAAAAAAAGATCACCCCAATTAAACATTGAAGTGCAATGTTATGGCCTCCAAAAGTTTTCATGCATTGAGTATGCACCTTATGACCCAATGGCCGGGTCAACAAGTCAACGGTTGAATTGGATGGGTTGGATGGTTTTTTACCAAGTCAACAATTTTTTACCAACTGATGGATTTCACTAGAACCAGACTCAAATCTTGGCCAAGTGACAATTCAAACAGTTCAACCAACCAGGGCAACAATAGGTTGAAAACCGAAAGCGAAATAACCAAAAACCAAAAAAGCCGAACCGATTTAACCAAAAACTAAAAAACCCAAAACCAAAATTTCCAATTTGATTATTCGGTTTTAACTGAATTATGCTCACCCATAGAGCCAAGCTGAACTCAAACATGAGCTTTTGAGTCGAGCCAAATTCGAATTCAAGTCTTTAACTCAAATCAAGCTCGCTCAATTTTTTGGCAAACCTACCTCAAATAGCCAATATTTAGGTCAGTTCGACTCGAATTTACCCCTAATTATTAGTTTGTCTTATTCTCCGTGGCATGATTGTAAACAATAGAGGGCCGAGGGATCCATTGATGATAGGTAAGAGTTACTGTGCCATACCGTTACCATTTCGAAGGAGAGGGTACCCACATTGGACCAATTTGCTTCTATATATTATATAAGATTTCCAAGCTTATATAGCAATGACCTACTACTACAAATAACATTTTACTGAAATAGATACTGGAATAGAAGACATGGATATAAATTTATTTACATTTACACAAATATCTCCCTCCATAAGTGGTACATATAATCCTCTAGCTGGATCCTCATCTGAATGTAAAAAAAGGAAAAAATAAATGTAAGTATGAAATGTTAAACCGTCATTTACACAGATTGGATGATAACATATACAAACACGCAATTTGAATCACCTGATTCAACTTTAAATTGGAATTTATATTCAATTATTCACTCGTAAATTGTAATTACAAATGACGATTTGATCGTGCAATTTAAATCTTTTTAGCTGCAATTGGATTTGAGTTGTACCATTTGAATCCTAAAGTATATGAATTTGAAAACATTACAACTCCTCGGTTTGGGTGAAGAAAATAAAAGAAAAGAGATTCCATTCACTAAAGCTGTTGTCAGATAACCCTCCACGGGAGACAACAAAATATCTTACAGCTAGTACTGAAATAAACAAACCACCAAGTATCGTTTTACAGTGAAGATGCTGCACATTCCTACTACTGTATCTTTAGTTTAGGACCGCATGCTATAAGATAGAGTCCGAAGGGTCCAACAGGTCATCTGCTAGGCCAAAACTAGCTCAGGACAATGATCTTAACTTGCAAACAAATGAAGTTCAATTTAGAAAAGAAAAATAATCTAAAGGAAAAGTATATTACATGGATGGCTAAAAATCATCTGATAAAATCAGATATATCTAACATAGAATAGGTAATAATTTCGACATGACCAGTGCAAAGTGCAAGATGAACTTCAAAGTATGAACGAGTATACTAATAGATAGAAGATCAGCAAGATCATCTACCAACAGCATACCATAAATATGTGGCATAAATGAATAGTGGGCCAGCCTTGGGAGATCATATAACCAAAGTTGGTCTCCAGTCAAATTATGGAAATCATCCAATCCATTGATTCCTTGCAACCTCAAAAATACGATGGCTCAAGTAAGAAAACCCATATTTGGAAGTTTATGATGTTTCAATTAGATTAATTTTTTTTTATGAATTTCAATTAGATTAATTTTGAGCTTAGCAGTTTTCCAAAATTGGCAGATTGTATCCACAATACCAAATATATGCACCACATGCATGGTGCACCAGATAGCCATTTCTTGGCCTGCAGCAAGCACAGAGATTTCAAGGAATGCATTAAAAGAATTAAGAAATTTGTATTTTACCAGATATATAGACAAGATGTAACTTGAAATAATTCTGGAATCAGCGCCAGTACTGAGCCCACCGATGAATGGTCTCAACCATTTGAGGGAACAATGCACTAACACTCTCATTGATGAGGTCCTGGAAAAAATGTATGCAGTCCTCATCGTCCAAATCCAACCGAAACTTCTCTTGAAGCTGTAACCACCAACAAAAGGTTGAAGTTACATACTGACATGAATGGTTGGTCCTAGTGTTGAATTAGGATACTGAGGATGAAGAGGCCACCTTAAGAATACCCTTTTCAGGATCAAAAGCTATGTCAGGAATGTTGGAACCAGCCATCAAATGGAACAAATTCAATATTAGGTTGCTAGATTTCCTGAGGATGTTGTATGCTTCACAGCAGTAGGATTTGAACCTGGTATAGTATTGGCTGCAGGATAAGAAGTCATCAATAATGTAGAACCATTCCTTGCACCACACACGCATAAATGCAGAAAAAGATCTTAGCTATCAAATAGAATGAATAAATATATGAGCAACGGGGAGCTTGCTTGTGCTTTTGCCACATATCTTAATTCGGTCCACCTGTATATAAGTCATACCATAGTAGTCAAGGCTGCACTTAGGCAACAAGGCACCCTTGGAGGGTCACCTTACCCAAGTGCTCACATCTTTCTGTACAAGSTCCACATGATATTTTACTTTTTTATTTTATGACATTATAATATTACAATAGAAATTACTAAACTAAATTATTCATTTTGCGAGTTCAAAACAATTTTTATAATTCTTATACTAGTTTATTTTTATTATTTTCTTGTTTGATTTGGTTCAATTGACAGACAAGTTGGTGAACTTTGCCTTGAATCCTTTTAAGAACTCAAAATCTGAACTGATAAGGAAGAACTTGAAGCTTCTTCATCCCCTTTCTTATCTTATTTTTCCTAAGAGAAAGGGCTCCATTCCTTCTCTTCATTTTCTAAGTCTTCTTATTCTATTACAAAACAAGGGCTCAGCCCCTATATTTTCAGGGTTTTCTTCTTCTCATAAATATGCCAGTTTTCATATATACTTATTTTATGACGACTATTTTCAATTATTAGTTAAAAGATACTAATGGTTGGTATGAAACCAAAGGGATTACCCTATGATTTATACTTTTTATTATAAAAAACTCACCAGTCATCACCTAGGCGGGGGTGGCTAGGCAAGTAGGCAACAAGTTGCCCTCCTGTCACCCAGCTTCACATTGGTGCCTAGAAAACTGAGTCATACCAACTCAAGAATTAATTGCAATTTGAAGAGCAAAATGTTAATTTAGAAGTTGGGAAAAGACCCAAAATGATGAAGAATGATCACAATATCATATGGCTTTTAGGTACAGTCCCAGCAGATGATCCATGATATTACGAATATGGGTACACCCCACCTTTTACCTTTTAAGAATACAGAGGTAACAACAGAACAACCAAGCTCTATGTGCAATGGCACCACCATATATTCTCTTGTAAATATATTGTCACTCGGCAATCCCTATTAGGATCTTGTCCAGCAACCCAGTATTTTAAAACCTGGACCATTTGTCAACTCCAAAGTCTAGGGGTGGTGGGTTTGGCAGTTCAACTGGACAAGTATTGGCCTGGTCAAACCATAAAAAAACCCAGGACTCAAATCAGCTACCTGGGTCAACCAGGGTGAAAATACTGCAGAAACAAACTACTTACATGAAAAGAAAAATATACCAAGAGGAAAAAAATAAGGAAATTTTGCATTAACACGAATACCTTTCTGCTCCACCCATTGCCTCAACCATTTCTTTGCAAAGTTTCATGGGGGGTGGAAATGGTTTAGGATCTCGGCCCAGAATAAATCCAAAATCAACATGGAAAAGCCGCCCATCATCCCTAAGGAGAAGGTTGTCTAGATGCCTACAAACCAAGAACAACTTTCTTAACCAATGCCACTAGATATATGAAATAATGACCTAAAAAAGACAATATGCTTGTGTCAAAATTATAGTAATTGACTGTATCCTTGACATGATATAAAGCTTAGGACTTCTCATGATTCTTAAGTGTCACTAAGAGTATTTACCAATCAAAGACAGAAAGTACGGCAAATAACAGAATATTTCCACCTACAGGCTTATACAGTCTTAAATAAGACATTCATTTCCAATGATAATGTCAGAACACATTTGGGTGTATAAACTTGACTTAGAGAAAGCTTACAACCTAGTGGATTAGTCATTCTTGCACTTGATAATGGATAAATGTGGCTATGGGAGCAAATGGAATAGATAGCAGGTTGCCTTCAGTTATGTCATTCTTCAATACTAATGAATGGCTTGGTGAAAGATATCTTTCCCACAAAAAGATGACTTAAGCAAGGAAATCCTTTATCCCCATTTCTTTTCTCACTAACCACATATGTTTTAGTCACTTAACATCCGAAACTGACAAATTCAGGTTGACCACAGGGATGAGAGTAGGGAGGAACAACGTTGTAGTTTCACACTTGCAATTTATTGATGGATTAACCATTTTTTTGTTAGGAAGAGTTGCATAATGGGCACCTATCTTAAAGAGGGAGAGCTTGAAAGTTATGCTGAAACTTTGGGATGACCCACATCACAGTGGCCTTCGAGTTAAAGTTACCTTTAGGAAACAATCTGACCATCTGAGAGCTCTTAATTTTTGCAACCTAGTACTTATAGATTCACCAAAAAATTTAGCAACTGGAAAATTATGCTACCAGCAAAAGTGTTTGGAGAAATCATGAGAGGTTTCCTTTAGAGCTATAGGAAGATTGGTGCTTAGGAATCTCTCTCTGGTCCTTTAAAGAAGACAACCTAATTGGTGCCTTCATCAAATTTATTTTCACTACAAGGCAGGTGGCAAAACTAATTCCCATTCATTAATCCTCTACCACTTTGTCTCTTAGGTCCTTTAAAGAAGAAAACCTAACCGGTGCCTTCCTCGTATTTCTTTTCACTACAAGACAGGTGGTAAAACTTCTTCCCATTTACTAATTCCCTACCACTTTGTCTCTTAAGCCCTTTAAAGAAGATGACCTAAATGGGTGCCTTCCTCATATTTGTTTTCACTACAAGGCAGGTGGTAAAACTACTTCCCATTTATTAATCCCTTACTCCTTTGTCTCTAGAATTTGAGGTTTTCTTCTCTCAATTTGCATGCTGGTGAAATCCTACAAGAGGGAAGAGAGATACAAAACTTTTGTAGGAAATATGCACTAAAGAAGCTTTGATTGCTTTGTCATCATTTCCTTATGATGTCCTCTAAAGAGAATGGACTAAAGACAAAGTTTTAACCCAATACATCACCTTACCAATATTCTCATAGCACCGTTTTCCTCTACAAGAAACACGGTTCATCTTGAGTGGCATCCTCCATTTTTTATGAGTAACAAGATTTATTGCTTCAGAAAAAGAAAGAACTGTGTACAAATGTCAAGTCTCCCTTAACTTGAGGAGGCCTATTTCTGTCAAATGGCATCCTCCATTAAATCTTATGAAATTAAATTTTGATGGATGTAGTATGGGAAATCCATGAAACAAGGTGGCATGTTTAGAGATAACTGCAGTGGTACTTTAGCAATGTTCAAAGGACCCATAGGGCAAGGAAGCTCAACTAGAACAGAGTAGTAAAGTTGGGTAAGTCTCAAAATTATAGACATTGTAGGCTTTGTAGCATAAGGAGGATCATGGGTAGTAATTGAATGGCTCAATAACGATGGTCTGGATACATGACAACATAGACATATTAAGGGAGGTACAAAGTCTAGCTAGGGATATAAGAACCTCTTTTTAAATGGGCTAGGAGATCAGTAAACAACTTGCCAGACACTCTTGCCAGGCAGGGAGTGAACTGAAACTAGATGCTTTCAGAGGATACAAACTTGGTGACCATGAGAAACTGATTATATGACTGAGGTAAAGTGTTGAGGTGTGCTAGGCTCATTTACATTTTGCAGTATATTATACTTTCCTTTATAACATTTTAATAAAAAATTGTACTTAGATAGCAAAAAGAAACGTGAGAAATGCAGTTTCCATTTTTACTGCCTTTAGGCATTTGTATGCTTTCTTCGCTTCACACGGCTGAAATGAAATATTACCTGTCTCCAATCCCCAGTATATATGTGATAACAGAGTAGCCAGCACAGCTTTTAATAAATGTTTCAAGACAGGTAGCAGTTATCCCAAAAGGCCCATCTTCATCAGGATGAAACTTCTGCAGATAACTTATGATACTACGATGTTCTGACAGAATCTGGGAAAAGAAAAAATTATATTCATCAGCCATAGTAAGAATATATATCTTACAAGCTATGGATCAAATTTTATTGGAGGCTCCCATAAATGAAGGCACATAATGCACAAAGAAAAGTGGATGTAGATGAAGAAAAACAAATTGGCTAGCAGATCCATCTAAGGGTTGAGGAAAAAAAGTAATTTTATGACCAAGAAATTTGGGGAAAACTTTCTTCTCATAATTGTTTAGACAACAGTAATCATTAATACAGATGATCAAAAATATACTATCAAATTTCTAATATTAATAACTTGGACATTACTTACAAAAGCAAGTACACTTGTAACCATAAAACCCAACTACATTATTCTAGCCTCAGAAGTATCAAATACGTTATTACCTGTGCTAAAGAACTAGATGGTATAAATTCCAGCATCCCTTCATCTTGTCCAGTTGCTAATACTCTATATGGGGTTAAATGCAAGTCAAGATTCTCCAATTTAAGCAACCGGTCCATGAGAGAAACCATTTGAATAACCTAAAACAAACAAAATGAACAAATAAATATATCAGGAGACACAGACCATATTCTGGCAACTTATATACTTTGAGAAGTAAAGTATATATCTAGATATGCACAACAGTGTTCTGGTGAAGATCACAGAGAAAAAGTCTAGCATCTACCAGTTGGTCTTGCCGAAGATCATCCCCCTTCTTAAATATGACCTTGCAACTTGAACCATTTGCTGTTCGAAATGTCAGACGCAGAGGATGTAGAGCACTTTTAAATAATGATGACTCTGATGGAACAATCCCAGTGATAAGCACTCGTGGTGCCAGTGGTGATCGTATTGGCTGAAGTGACAGTAGAATAACAGGATTTCAAATCTCACAAGGTTTAGAAGAATTGATCACATCTATTATATCTATGCAAAATTGACAAGGTAAAAGAAGAATATGTCAAGCATGCACTATCTAGCAAATTAAGATCAATAGAAAAGTAGCTTAAGATAAAATGTAAAAAGGATACCTCATCAAAATAGGTAAGCTCACTCAGAAGACCAGAAAGCAGTTGCCTTAGCTTTTCAATTTTCTTCTGAGTTCCTCCACGTACATTTCTAACATCTCTCGTTATAGAGCATAATTGTGCAGTCAGTTCTGTCTGACGCACTAAACTTTGCCATAACTTGATTCCATCTTCTTCTCCACCCACACCAGATACCAACTATTTGAAAGTAGATATAAATTTCAGGATCACATAAAGGAGACAGAGTTACTTGTCAAACATGTCAAAATTCCTTGAAGTTTGGCTTTCTTTCATTATTTATCATTAAAACAATAATGATAAAGCAGTATTCTTCCAGACCAAAGCCAATAAGCCTCTCTTTTTTTCCCTTTTGATCAGTAATAAACAGAAATTTTATTAGTTATGATGAAAGAATGAAATGATGATGTAGAAAGTGAAGTGTACCAAGCACCACAAGGTATGGGCTAGAAAGAGCTACCTATCCCAATATATCATTTTTCATTACAACCTGTTTTAATGAGGGGACAGTCCCCTAAAATAATTAATTCCAGTTTTAAACCAGTAAACCTTTGATGAGAAATAGTTCATACTACTTAAAGTACTTACAGGTTCCTTTTATTTCAGTATCATTACGCTAAGTAGAGCACTGGAAATATCTGTTATGTATCATATACAGAACAAAACAAGATGGCATACCTTCATCATATTTTCCTCCAGGATCTCATAGGTACAGTAAAAACGCTTCGCATATTGAGGATCATGGAGTTCCACAGCTACATACCAACGAAGAAAGCTCGCCAACTCAATATTGTGCAATGCTGCCAATATGAAAAATTAACTTTAGATGCAACCAAGAGGTATGCTCTAAGAGAGAGAGAGAGAGAGAGAGAGAGAGAGGTAATGCTCTAAAGTTCTGTAAGCTTGCATTTAAAACTTAAGTAGATTCTTGGTGAGCAACTGTGCACATACAGCGTTGCACAAGGAAATGAGATAAACGTGATTTATCAGAACGCTCAAATCGAAGAGCTTGCACCAGCTGAAGTAAGTAGCACTGTAACTCATCATCATCAGCTCTTTCAAGAACACTTACTGCATATGCACGAACCTGCTTAGAAGGATATAAACCTAGTTATAAAATGAGGAGTGTCAAGAACTAGCAGGGATACATTTATATCAGAACATAGAGCAAAAGAATTGTCAACCAATAGTAAATGATCACACAAAATACCAATAAAAAGTGTCAAAAACTCAAAGGCAATTTCTCCTTCTCTAATGGAAATATGTTTCTATATAATATGTGGTCCAGTAATATCCAGTAGCTTCTTCAGTAAATCTAGTTTGCAAAGATATCACCTTCACAGAAGTCTACTAGGGAACTAAGTTCCTTTTACTAAAGATCTGACAGTAGTATGGGAATATGGGTAGAGGAGTTATAAAGGTCAACTTTAATGGCGACGCCGCAACGGTATGTGTAATCCAGGTCCTTCTAGAATGGAGTGTGTTTATAGATGAAAATGAAATGGTTTTATAGCAATTTTTACATTCCCAATAGGCAATGGGAAACTCTTTAAGAGCAGAGCCGTTGGCTATATTACAAAGTTTAAGGCTGGCAAAAGATATTAACACAGAGAAGTTAGTGATAGAAGGTGGCCCAAAAGCGGTGACAATCTGGCTGGAACATAATGACCAGGGGTTGTTGCAGTCCAGGCAAGGGTTTCACAAAATCATATGGCTCACTAGGAACCTTGAGGTTACTGCCAGTGGGTTCCTAGGTTGGCAAATGGGTCATGGGTGTGCTGATGCTTTTACCAAACAAGGAGCAACTACGGACTAGTTTTTTGGGTTCAGTTGTAAAATATACTGGAATTTCTAGCCTGCTTTTGAATGATTGCAAAAGTTGTACATGATTTGTTTATATAATTAATGGTTTTCAGTTTCTGATCAAAAAGGGATTTCACAGTAGTACAAACAGGGATACATAACAATTTTTCATCAATGTAATGACATCACATTTAGTATAAGGGTAATAGTGTTGATGAAGCTAAGCAAGGGTTTCCACAGTTATAAAATAGTTGACAATTACACCTACAGTAATTCAGATAATGCAAGAAAAGAAGAAAAGAGAGAAAGAGAAAGTAGAAAAGAAGTTTCAGCAATAGGTTGTGGAAGAAGAAAAGAAGGGAAGAGAGAAAAGAAGAATTCGAACCTCTCTCTCTAGCCCCCTTTCATCACTTTTATTAATAATTCTAAGTCTGAGTACAATTACTTGGATGCCCTTAATGGGGTGGCCAGCACTAAAGAGATAATTAAAGAAAATAAAAGAAGGCCCATAAGGCCCATAACTAAGAAAGACAACTTTTAAACACTACTTAAAAGAAATAAAGAACACTAGGGCCTATTCGGCCCATTCTCACTGCAAAAACCAATAGCAGGGATTTTTTTTTTTTTTTTTTTTTTGCGATACATACCTCTTCACTTTCAAAAACAGGAGATAGAAGCTCCAGTGCATCACATACATCAATGGTTTCCCACCTTCCCATTAGTTCTAATGCCTGCTTTGCTTCCTGTTAATACATAGAAGTGCCAATTTCCATGCATGAAAACAAATAATCTATTAAGCAATGACAAGATCAAACCTGCAAACCAAATGAAAAAAAAAAAAAAAAACTTTCCAATTTGTCTTTTTCTTTCTAAGGAGAACTGGAAATATCCATTAAGGAGCAAAAGAATGAACAATACAGGTGCTAAGACAAAGCTAAAATCAAATATCCAGAAGAGAAGAAATGAAACAACATAAAAAACCAAAAGAAAGGAAGCAATACCCCACTCAACCCACCCTACATTAACAACCATTGTCACCAAAATCCAATCAGCCCTCTCAATTCCATCTCTATCCAAGAGGTCCAATGTCAGCCAATCTAAGGGACCACCTGAATGGGATGTTCGCTTTAGATGTCAAATATCTAGCTTCTCTAATGATTTTGTTTTTTCTATTTTTTTAACAGAAACATTATATGTGAAATTCTATTATAAAGGGAGACTAGATTCTTCATTCCAGAAAATTGGAACGAAAGCAGATACAAAACAGCCCAAGGCTGGCAAAATATATATAGATGCCTAAACAATGAAGTTGTCCTAAAGCCAAAATTTCTTATCCTGGACCAAGTGCACTCCCTCCCCCCTCTCAAGTTAATTCACTGCTGTTATCCCTGCCCTTGCTAAGTCCACAATGCCGTTACACTTGGCAGATCTGAGGAACCAGTCAAATGAACAGATCATGTCACCTTCCCTTCCCTTATATAGGACCTTGAAAAGCTATGGTCTCTCTGTTCTTGAGGATAACCATCATATCACAATCAAGGTTCAAAATATCGATATGCCTGATACGCCAGTAGAGGCGTATCGGTAGTTTTTTTTTTTTCAAATCCAGTTCAGAGGGGCTGGTTTAAGGTCCATCCACCCCCTGAACCGGTCAAAACCCCGATACGCCCTTTGTAAGGGCATATCGAGAAGCTCCCGATACGTATCGATATTTTGAACCTTGGGATCAACAGCTCCGATACCGATTGATGTAGGATTTGAAAGGTCAAAGGATGACTATAGGAGGGTTAAGATGGGTTTAGGGGTGATTTTGGGAAGAGATTGGGTAGATTAGGAAAAGTCTTGGAGCACAACTGCAAGAATTGTAGGGTTATCCCAAGATGGTGAAAAACTTAGAAATAGGGAAAATAGGTTTAGACATAGGGCCATTACTTGGTGTAACAATAAAATCTCAGGTTGTCAAGCATGAGAACACAGGTCCGAGTCTGAGAGCATCCACTTCGTGCAAAAAATGCCAAAGGTTAGGACCGTATCCAGTCCATCCCTCCCAAGACCCCAATAGTTGGGACCAACATTGGGTAAAGGCTTTTTTAGGTTTGGGATAGGAATTTTTTTTATGAATTTTTGTGGGTAAGGTTCAAATGATATTGTAGAGAATGATCTAGTTTGGTAAGGTTCAGAGCATATCTTGCATAAAAGTACAAATATTATGTTATATTAGCATAGTAAATGGAATTTTGGAATGAGATATCTAAATTTGTGAGGATCTAAATATGGGAGCAATCAGAGAAGGTTGGACATAAAAAGGTGTAAATGGCCATAATAGAAAATTTTCAGGTTTTGAATCTATCAAAAAAGAAATCAGGTTTTGATTAAAAAGAAGAAAAAACTCACCTAGATGAGTACCAGCCCTTGAAGAATGTTGAATGAACACCTTTTAATGAACAACTTATAGCTACTGATTGCTTCAATGAATTCTTGAAAAGTTAAAGACAAAATAGAGAGAGAAAAAGGAAAAAGAAAACCCAAAATCACTCAATAGGGTGTCTAGAATAACTTTAGGGCCTAAGAATCACTCACCACTGATAGAAAATGTTGGAAAACCCCAAATAAACACCATTAATTCATTCTCCCACATTTTTGCAATACACACACACACACACAAGTCACTACTATAAGAAAATGACATACACTAGATTCTGAAACTATTTATCCAATCTCTCAAAAAATTTCCCAATTTCTCCTTTTGGTGGGAGCAAATTGAGAAAACTCATGCATGACTTCCTGTTGTCTGGGTGGATGGATTAATAAAAGTTTACCTAGTTAACTGGAAACAGATTTGTAAACCCATCTTTTCTGGTGGACTGGGTATTAGAGTGAAAAGACTTAATGTCAAACTCCTGGGGAGATGGTTATGGTGTTTTGTAGCTGAACCAGATGGTTGGTGGAGAAGATTGATTCCTGAAAAGTATGGAATCAGTGTCAGTGGATGAGGATGCAGAGAGCACTCAATAAGCCTATGGATGTAGTGTGTGGAAGGGAACTAACAAAGCTTTCCCTCATTTTATCAAAGGTATAAAGTACCAAATAGGAAATGGTAGCAGAATTAAGTTCTGGAAGGATCCTTGGTGCAATGAACAGGGTGTTGAAGGAATTGTTTCTGAACCTGTTCAGAGTTGCATGAAATCCTTATATTCTAGTAGCAGACTCTTATCATGTTCAACGGGCAGTAGTAACCTGGACTCCCTCATTTAGAAGAAGCTTCAATGACTGGGAGATATATGAAGTGACAGAGATACTAGCTCTGATACAAAATCAGCAAGTAAATCCACAAAACCAAGATTCTAGAAGTTGGAGATGGACAAAATCTGACCTCTTCACAGTGAGGTCTTTTTATAAAGGACTGTTAGGAGGTTTGGATGATTCTTTTTCTCACAAGCGATATGGAGCACAGCAGCATCTTCAAAAGTCAGGTGTTTTGCTTTTTTTGTTTTTTGATCAGCAAAAGTAAATTTATTCTATTAAATTAAATTAGAAAATAGGAGTGATTAATACAACTTAATTGACCATAGTGTCAATCCCTTCAAAACCCAAGTTACATGGATGCCCAAAACAATTGCTGCCTCATAACCCCTTGTTTTGCTAAGGAGTCAGCTAACCCATTTGCACTCCTAATCCACTTGAATTAAACCTCTAATTCTCTTGCAATCTTTTCCACATCTCTTAAAATTTGCTGAAAGATCCAAGGATACGCCTGTTAGATTTTGCCCATGAGATGACCACTTGTGAGTCTCCTTCCACCTCGATCATTCTAAATCCTAGCTGTTTAGCTAGTTTGAGTCCTTGCAAAAGAGCCAAAAGTTCAGCCTTCAAAGAGCTTCCCAAACCAATTGGCCCCGAAAACATTTCCACAATCCTCTCTAAGTTTCTGATGACACCTCCTATTCCAGCCATACAACTCATACCCGGGTTTCTGAGGGAACTCCTGTCGAAATTTAATTTTACTTTATTACCTCCTGGGGGTTTCCACTCCATACAAATCCCGCCTTTTACTCTCAATGATTGCGCAATTTCAGTTCAAGCCCTTGAGAAATCAGTTACTGAGAAGGTTTTGAAGATGTCTAAGGTCTTCACCCAAAAAGGCAATCTTTATTTTTATGCTTTCTATCACTTCCTCCAAGGTCCTACTCTTCTCCAAGAAGATTCTACTATTCCTCTCTTCCCACACCACCCAATAAATTGCTGCTTTAGTGGCCCTCCAAAGCACTTTCCCCCTTTTCTTTGGTTGCCTCAAGAAGTTAGGATTGAACAAACCCACCACATCTTGAGGGGGGGTCCCACATGCACCCAAAGAGAGATTAGTAAATGGTATAAGGTCTCACCATTATCCCTACATAAGAAGCACATGTCAGGAGAAAGGCACGTAGAAGGCCTTCTTTTCAGCAACATATCACAAGTATTTACCTTACCAAGGAAAATTTCCAGGCAGAAAGCTAGAATTTTAAGTAGGATAGGCTTACTCCAAATTTCTTTCACTGGGAAATTTACCCCTTGATGGTCAAATGAGGCTAGGGACTTGAAGAAAGAGGAGCAAGTAAAGAGGCCAGTTGGAGATATCGTCCAAGTTCTGGAGTCCTCAAGAGAGAAATCTAGCAAGACCTACCTTAAAGTAGTAAGTGTATCAAAGAAGAACACACAAATTCCCTTAACCCCCCTTCTAAACCCCAAGTTCCAATTTAATCCGTTTAGAGAAGGTGTTCCTATTCTAGATATGGGTTCCCCTTTAAACTGAGAAATACCAAAAAGATCAGGAAAAAGCTCTTTAAGTGGAAATTCCCCTAACCACAAATCCTCCCAGAAGCATATTTTGTCACCCCTTCCCGCGTCATACCTAACGGAGTTAACAAGGATTGGGTAAATATCATGAATTGCTTTCCACGAAGAAGCTAAGGAAGAGTGGAGAGCAACTTTTACATCACAGCTAGGGGTGGCAATTTTTCACCCAACCCGCTGAACCCACCCAGCATCTAACCCACCCAACCCGCCCATTTACTTGGCGGATTGTGTGATCAACCCATCACCTAACCCGCCCATTTAAATGGGTTAGGTTGTGGATAACCATTAGGTTAACCATCATAGACATAACTATTAATTCCTTGGCCTTTTCTTTTAATTTTCTTCATTTGAATTAAATAATTTATAATTAATGCATTAATTTTCTATTAATTATTGACTAAAATTAGTTTTGTCTTGAATTAACACACTTCACCCAACATAAATCCAAATCAATTTGACCCGAGTCCGGATCAGTTCAACTCGATCTGACCTAAATCCGAAATAGACCCTGGACGGGATGGTTCGGTACCGCTTGCTTTGCCCGCTTTGGGTCGTCCGGTCCAACCATTATTCACACAGCCCGTTCGGTCTGGTTCATATCCATACAACCCGACTCAAATCCGGTCCGGTCTGATTTACTTCTCTTGACCCGTTTTGGGCCAGTCGGTTCGGTCCCAAACCTGTGCACAAACCTGACATGAGCCGACCAAAGTCAATCCACCAGTGACTGAACCGGCCCGGTCTGGTCCGACCAAACTGAACCGGTCCGGTTGGAGTCTGGTCCAACCAAACTGAACAGGTCCAATCAAGATCTGGTCCGACCTGACTGATCCGGTTCTAAATGGTTCAACCACTCTTGATGTGATTAGCTCAAAGACAATCCAATTAGATAGTTCAAGTTGATCTGACCGTTTTGAACCTAAGTGGTTTGTCAAATCCGAAACCCAAACAAAGTTAAATGGCTTTGCTGCTTGTGTAAAAATAACATGCATGTAATGTGATTTGAACCTTCACCACTTGCGTAAAGTGCAATTACTCTTGCCATCAAGCTATGACCAACTTTTGTTAAGAGGGAGTTAGTTTTTTGTTTTAAGTACACAAATATAAGATTAATGGGTTTGGGCGGGTTGGATTGGGTTAAAGCGGGTTTGGGTTGAACCCAACCCATTTAATTTTATATAACTGGGTCATTAACGGGTTGGCGGGTTAAATGGGTTGGGTTGAAGCTCAACCCAAACCAACCCGCCTAATTGCCACCACTAATCACAGCCATTACTTTCCAACCCATGAATGCTTACTATTACTTTGTGCTACAGCCTTTTGCTCTCAAAGGGAAATCTCGATAACCATAACCTTGATATTACCTTGTCCTTTTTTTCTTCTCCCGGTTCCCACAAAAAGTCCCTCATGTACTTCTCCAATTGCTCTGCTATCCTAGTTGGGATGCAAAAGGTTGAAGGGAAATAAATGAGAAGATTTGCCAATATAGCTCTCATTAGAGTAATTCTTCCACCCAAGGAGATGTAATTCCATTTCCAAAGGGCTAAATCTCCTAGCAAACCTTTCCACCACTGGCTTCCAAAATCCATTACATCTAGGGTTCCCTCCCAAAGGCAAGCCTGGGTATATGATAGGCCAATCTCTAATCTCACACCCTAGTACCTCAACAAAAGTTTACAAGTCCTCTTCATCCAAGTTAATTCCTGCAATCCCACTTTTACTCCAATTAATCCTCAACCCAAGCCAGGTGTTTTGCTTGGTTGATGGCATGGGAAAGATCTTTAACGAAGGATCTCTTAGCCAGGAAGGGTATGAATCTGCCTGATCTTATTTGTCCTCTGTGCAATAAAGAAGTTGAGACAACAGCTAATCTTTTCCTCTTCTGCACCTTTCCAGCCAGAATCGGGCATTTTTCTGCAAGACTGTGCCTCTCTATTAGTGCTGTCCTACGTAAGTAAAGCATATGAATGACAAAAAAAAGTAAAGTGTTGCTGGGCAGTTGTTCTGGAAGCAGCTCTGTGGGCCATTTGGTTAGAAATAAGTTCAAGAATTTAAGCAGAAAGCAGAAAGAAAATCCAGAGGGGGGCAGTAATCAATTTTGCTATAGATATGATAAGAAGCTGGGTGTCTACTATTACTTGTTTTGAAGGAGAATACACTTCATCCTTTTTTTTTTTGGAAGTGGATTTAGGTCCTTCAAGAAACTCTTTCTTGGAAGTGGTTTCTATGTACAGAAACTCTTTCTACAAAGGACCATTCTTATAACACTTTTTCTCTCGTTTTTTTTTTTTTTTTGAACTGTAAGGTAAAGTATTTCATTAATCAAAAAACATAGAAACCCCTGTACAATGAGAAACTGAACAGAGGATGTACAGATTTGCGCATAACAACCAAACAAAACCCCAAAAAGACTTAGCACGTCTTTGCCCATATCACTTTTTGATCTTAATACAATTATACTTTTTCTTCAAAAAAGAAGAAAAAAAAAAGAAAGAATTTGCAAATCACCTTCCTTTAAGTTTTTTGTCTTTCTCTTGTTTCTTTTTCTTTCTCTTTTGTTTCATTTCCAGCAAAGACTTTATGGGCAGACTTTATCCTCCCAAAAATCAAGACTTTCTGTTGCGAAGCAACATTACTAGGACCTTTATTAAAGTTGAGCCTACCACTTTTTCTATGTAACAAGCTGGGATTATATGACATATACTCTCCAGCTTGAGGGGGAGTGTTAAAGTAAGCTGAATAGGGGTAGTTTAGTCATCTTATGTTTGTTAAGTGATTTGCTTATGTGGCAGTTTTATTAGARAYACTYTGCCCCACACTTAAGTAAGGGCAGTTTAGTCTTTGTAAATGTCATTAGAATCTAAATGACTATTAAGGGGGTCAACTGAATGGAATAACCATCAGATTTTGACAGACCCTTCTTTTCCTTCTTCTTCTCTTCTTTCTTCTCTTCCTGGTTCGGGTTACTGTAGCAGCATTCGAAACACACCGCAACAAAATGGAGTTGCTGAGAGGAAAAACAGACACATTGTGGAGGTGGCAAGGAGTCTTATGGTGTGTGCTTCAGTTCTTGTGCAGTTCTGGGGAGATGCAATTCTTACAGCTATACATGTGATTAATCGTGTTCCTTCATGGACTTTGGGGTTTAAGGTGCCATTTAGCCTCCTTTTTCCAGATGGAGAGATATTTCATATACCTCTGAGGGTTTTTTGTTATGTTTCTTTTGTTCACATTCTTGGCCCTTGTTTAAGTTCGGCCTGCCCTAGAAGTCTGTTTTGTTTATTAGCTGAAAAGTAAAGTAAACAGCAAAGAAGAGAGGAAAGAAGAAGGAAGAAGAGAAAAGGTTTGGTTCGAATTAGGAAAAAGTCAACCCTGGTTTCGACCAGACCAGTTATTATATTATTAATAAAATTGGAAAAGACATAAGTGCCCTTATTTAAGTAAGAGGCACTCGAACTAACATAATAGTACACATCAGCATTCTCAATAGGTACAAAGACCAAAATACCCCTTCACTAACACTCCCCCTCAAGCTGGTGAGTATATATCATATAATCCCAGCTTGTTACATATGTAGTCCACTCTCCCYCRACTYAAACCTTTTRTAAACAAGTCTGCCCACTGGTTTCCCGTATTAACATATGCAGTCTCTATCACTCCATTCAGCACCTTCTCTCTCACAAAATGACAGTCAACTTCGATGTGCTTGGTTCTTTCATTAAACACCGGATTGGAAGAGATATGAATTGCCTGATTGTCACAATATTGGAGTACTGATGTCATATCCTATCTCCTGTAGAATGTTCCTTAGCCGCACTAATTCACAAGCAGTATGTGCCATGGCCCTATATTCTGCTTCTGCACTACTTCTTGCCACAACTGTTTGCTTCTTACTTTTCCATGTTACCAGGTTACCTCCTAGAAAGGTGCAATAGCCTGTGGTAGACCGTCTATCAGACATAGAACCTACCCAATCAGCATCGGTGTATCCTTCTACTTCCAGTTTTCTGCCACTTTTGTACAGCAAACCACGACCAGGAGCTCCTTTCAAGTACCTCACAATCCTTAGCACTGCAWTCCAATGTGGGACCAAAGGTTTCTGCATGAACTGACTCACCACACTAACCGCAAATGAAATATCTGGCCGAGTAATGGTTAG